CGTTGAGTCTCAAGCTAAAGAAGATATTGCATAGTTAATAACTAAATTTTACAGAAACTTTTAATTTAAAAAACACTGCAAGTTGACAAAAAAACACCCCCAGCTACTCAATATGCCTTGTTAGTGGTGGCATCCTTTCTACTGCTTCCAAACCCACTGAGAGCTAGAACTCTGCTCTAAAGCCATGAGCATTGCAACTCCATATTCCATGGTGCAGCCTTATTCACTTAATTAATTCCAGTCTCACTTCTGACCATAAAATATTTTTCAAACCTTCTAAAAATGAAAAGAAACCCCTTTTTTAGATTGTAACTTGGCTAGTGTTTTGTCAAACAATGTTCTACAGCTATGAAGCTGCCAAAAAGATGAATTAGAGTGTGTTTCTGATGAAGAACTGAAAAGTTTATGAAGTGGCAAGTGAAAAAGCTCTGCAAATTGATATCATTAGGTTTTGGGTTTGTTTTGGTTTTGAGTTTTACATCTTTTTTTATCAGTGTTACGTGGTCAGGATCCCGTGCCATCAGTGTGCTCAGTCATGTCATGTCATTTGTGTAAGCGTTGATTGTACCTGATTGTGAAACTTGTTGACTGCAGAGGGGCTGTTCAACCAACATGGAGAATTACGTGGGTTTTGAGCTTTCTGGTCAGAGTTGCGAGTAACTTCTAGGTTAGCTGAGCTACGTTTGCTGCCTTTATGCACTTTTACTCAATTCACTGCCTCTTGAATATTTATTCCTTGGCATTCGAGCCAGTGTTTTATTTAATAGTGATCTTGTGTTAAACCCATCTGCTGTACTATGCTTGTTTTATCACCGGAGTAGTAATTATAGATACTGTTCTCCTCCTCACTTTGATACCTTTTGTTACAACAGGCTTTCAGCTCTGTCTCTTGGCTGACTGTTCTGCTAAAGAACATTATAAATGGTTCATAATATGTTCAGTTTATTTGGCTCTCGTAAATAGTACCAGGAAAAGATGTCATTTATGACCCACTGCTGCCATCTGTAAATGTGTGCCTGTTAGGCCTTTGGGATTGTATTTTCTTAAGATTTATTTTTAAAAAACGAAGAGTCGGAACTAAAAAAAGTATCCCAATTTACTTAGCAGTTGTTGTAAATCGCGTGAATCTTGAGATTATGCCAGTTTCTGGTTTGGATGCAAAGCTAATCCATCAGCATTTCTTCCTGGGTATATAATGAAGAGGCAGTAAAGTGTCATACAGATGGAAAATTGTAGGGTTTCAGGACAGAGGAGTATAAAATATGTGCTGCCACAAGGGCTGCTGCTGAATGCACATAGAAATTCAGTGGTTGGGATTGACCACGGTATGACAAGCTGCCACACAAACACAAACTGCAAGTCAGAGATTGCTTTGCAGAATTCAAAGCATTTGTATTTCTTTTTCCTTGCTGCCTTTATCACCATGAACTCACAGCAAGATAGTGTTGTACCTGTACAACACACTGGGAAAAACTTGGCTTCACTTTTTAAGACATCCTCTTCTCTTCCAAATTCCTATAAGACGCCTTCAAACCACATCTTCAAATAAACTCTTGGCAATTAACATACAGGTGGCTGTGATCTGAAATTTACCCCTTAAAATGCTCTTGTAAATAATATATGGCCATCAAAGTTTTAAAATGCAGTCATTGCTGTGGACACAGAGTTTCTAAAATACTTAAAATCACTATGTTTCTTGATATTTCCAGGGCCTGGGCGAGGAAGACCGCACACATGCTCCTTCCCAGGTGGAATTGTGCTAACTGCAGGATCGTTTCTGAAACGAACCAGCAAATTGTATCAAAACGTAGGAAGTTGTCTGCAGAATTGTGTCTGAATTCTTAATTAAATGCCTATAAGTGGCTAAGGCCCTGAGAACGTCCTATCAACTAAGGTTATAAATGCCATTAAAATC